CGAACTCTAATTGAAAAATGATGACAGCTCTCGTCTCATCCTTCTAAGTGTCCCCAACCTTTTTCAAAGACACCCACATCTTATTATTATATACATACATACAATTTATGTGTCTACAAGATAAACAGAAAGATGGAAAATTAATTAATTATTATTTTATCTAAATTTTAACAAACTCTGTTTCTGTTGATTATAAACGAACAAAACCGGGAGAACACTTCCTCACAGATTTTACCAGGCTGAAATCATGTAATATTAAAATAATTTAAAGCGGTGGCGAGGCTGAGCGCTAAAACCGCCATAAGTAATGTATGGGGGACACGACCTATGTAAAATATGTCGCAGGGCGAAACGCTCTTTGGCTTTCCAGATCTAGCTACCTTTATACAAAAGGTACATTCGTTGCGAACGTGGCCTGGATTTCACGTGGTAAAAACTTTTTTCAACTCTCGACTTGTTATCCTAGATTCTCAGGTTCTCCTATTTTATTTAACAACTTTACGAAACCTTTCACATTTTTTTTATACTCTCTTTGTTTATTTAAAGTATTGATTTTGATTGTTTTTCAACATTTTGTTTCATTGAAAAATAATATTTTAGTATCAATTAAAATAAAAAATTACCAAAGCAGAAGATACTACTCAAAAGTATATTCCTGATGCAATCCGTCATCTCTGAAAACTCTCATTCTGAGATTTAGAACGACACAGAAGCTTATCGAGAAACTTTAAACTATTTATTTACTTATAACAAATCCCTTAACATCATACACAGTACTTTTGCTAAATTTGAGAAAGAATTGGATCGTCCTTACAGAAGGATAACAAAAAAGCTCTAGGTCTAGTGTTAGTTCTAGTTGTACAGGGTGTCCAAATTTCGATGGGTTTGCAGGGTATCTCAGTTATTATGAAAGATAGAAAGTTGCGGCTTTCGCGAACCTGAGCTACTTTTTTGTGAAACTTACAATGGCGCAAACCAAATTTTCATAGCCCTTTTAGTTTTTCATACACAGGGAGTGTTTGAAATTTACGATTTTCAGACACCTCCGGAAACTTAGTAAAAAAGTAAAAACGGGTTCTAATAGATTTTTTCACGTGGAATCCAATGGTGCACGTAGAATTTTTCTAGTCATCACGGTTTTTGAGTTATAAACACAACTCAAATACTAAATACTCAACTTCTAAAAATACTTAACTGTTTATAACTCAAAAACCGCGAGGACTAGAAAAATTCTACGTGCACCATTGGATTCTACGTGAAAAAATCTATTAGAACCCGTTTTTACATTTCCAGATAGCCGGGATACAGGAGGTGTCTAAAAATCGTTAATTTTGAAACACCCCTGTATATCAAAAACGAAGAGGGCTATGAAAATTTGGTTTGCGTCATTGTAAGTTTCACAAAAAAGTAGCTCAGGTTCGCGGAAGCCGCAACTTTCTATCTTTCATAATAACTGAGATACCCTGCAAACCCATCGAAATTTGGACACCCTGTACAAATGCCTTATCACTGAAAACATGCTCTTTACTAAACCTGATGCAGGCTAACTTCAGAGGACATAGGAATACAATTTCAAAAAGCCGTATAAGATCATATTCAGAAGCAGGGATGATTGGACGAAGGGTGGGCTTCAACATGGATGGTTCAAAGACAGTTGGATTCGAAGCACTAAATAGCCATATTAAATTGCCCCGCAGAGAGGACATAAAAGTGCATCCATAAACATTTTTACAGACAGTCGGGTCGCCCCAAAGGCTCAAAGAGTGCACCAGCAACCTGAGAGAACTCGCTAGAAGCAATGATGTTACTCTATGGTGGGTTCCAGGTCACAGAGACATTGAGGGCAATGAGAAGGCAGAGAAGCTGGCCAAAAAGGCAGCGAAAAGGCCCTTCATTAGATTCCAATCCGGTTGTGAAGTATGAAAAAGCCACCTAAAAAAAGTAATCAACAGTTGGGAGGCTTCAAAGGTAGCTGGGAAAAGTTTCCAGGTCACAGTGTCGGGCCATGTGTCCCTAAAATACCACCGCTTTCACATTGGACAAGCTGAGGATCAAACTTGTCGACTTCGCAACGACGAGTCAGAAACGGCTGAATATGTACTGTGTAATTGCGTTGCCAAAGGTCGCCTAACTGACATAAAGGAACAAGACCTTGGAGCAATACTAAGGTTCATTAAGGAGCTACATTTGCTCTGAAATTTAAGTTACAATAGATCTTATAGGTCGCGGTGACGAGATGGGCCGCTCCTCTTAGCCCGGCAGCAATAATAATAATAATAACCTTAAAGTTGAATCCATAATCTAGCTTTACCAGTTGCTCAATTTCGCCAATCTAATGCAATTGAAAACGAGAATACTTAAATTTGATGATTTTGACAATGTTTCAAAGAAAATCGGAAGGATTCTGGATTTCACAACCACTTAAAAACTCAAAAACATTCGTTTTCAAATGCATTCCTAAAAAATTTTTTTCTATAACATTAGAAATTTGTTATAGAAAGTCATGAAGTTAGGTTCGTTTAAAAGAAGGAAGTAATCATACTTATATTGCTGCAGATAGCTGGTGCATCTTATAGAATTTATTTATTTATTTATTTTACCTTTAATGTTGTTAAACAGTACTTTGGGCGGCCGACGTCTTGGAAGCTCTCGGATGCATAAATATCGAGAAGAATATGAAAATAAGATGAATTCGTAGTTTTCCATGTTGTTAATAGTAACTTTCGGGATTCTGAACATATTACAAATAATGTCAAAAATGATTATTTTGCTTGTGCCATCTTCCAGAAAGCCAGAAATTGCTATAGAGCAATTTTACCACAATTTTAGTTCTGCTCCATTTAATTTGGAAGAATTTGTGTAAATTAAGCTCAAAAAACTAATCAGGAAGCTGTCATATAAACTTCATACCCTCATATCTATTATGTTAGCAAGTTGTATCTCAGAATCGAATGGAAAAAAACAAATACAAATACACGCATTTTATTGAAATTTTTAGAAATGTGGGAATGAAATTTTAAGGAATCGATTTGAAAAACTAAAAGTGATTTTTTGTAATTCGCGACGGTAATGAAAGCTCTAACAGTACTCAAACGGGTGCTGTAATGAGACTCCTTACAGCATCCGATGCTGTAATGAGATTTTAGTAACATTTTATGGAACCAGTTCAAGTTGGTGACATTGGGTCATTTATTTTTCTAGTTGTCAATGTGACAATTTTTGTCTATGGATGTTTAAAGACGTTCTTAATCGAATACAAGGTCCACAATGATGAGGACATTGAACACTGAGCAATTTCTCTTATTTTGGGAGGTGTACATGAAATATTGTTCTTAGCATCGAATGCAAGGTCCACAATGATGAGGACATTGAACACTGAGCAATTTCTCTTATTTTGGGAGGTGTATATGAAACATTTTTTTCAGGTGAATACATTTTGTGTTTTGACAGTTTCTAATTGTCAATTCAAATTTCTATATTCAAGTGTTACGGTGTTACCAACTGCTACATACCTATTTCCCTACATTGTCAAAATTTATTTTATTTATCAAAAATTAACTCCAAAAGTATTGAGAGAAAATATTGATAAAAATGGTTTTAATTTCAAAAATGTTATACTGCGTTAAAATTTGGGAAAGGGTTAAAAGAAAAACAACATAATTGAATTAATTTAACGTAATTTATATTTAAATTACACGTGAATTTGAAACGTCGAAAGTAGTGTGTCGTCGTTAAAACATACACAAAGCTTATACACGTAGTATTTACAATAATTTACGAACCTTAAATTCTAAAATACGATCTTTTTTAATTTATTTATTTTTCTTCATCAGTACATGTACAAAAACCTTTCTTTTTTGTAATACATTAATTTACATTCCCCTTTCAAATACATTATACAAATTTAATTGAAAAATTCTTTTACACCGTATTCATAATATAAATATTATACAAACAAAAGAAATAAGTTTCGAGACGAAAAAATCTTCCTTAACAAAAGAAATTTTTAATAAAAAAGATTTTTTTCCATAAACTATATTATAATAATATCGATTTTCTTTGGTATCATTTGCCGTGTTAACGCTAAACGTTGTACGAACAATCTTGGCGTTCGGCGAAAATCTTCGACACGGCCCGAAATAAGTGCGTTAGAGGATTGGGGAGCTTTCGTAAAGCTTTCGTTCTCGTCCGCGAAAACCGACGCTGACACTTCGAAACCCTCCGTCTCCGGGAAAAGACGCTGAAACATGAAACTCACACTACTTGAAACCATCGTCGTGATATCCCGACGCTTCGGGAATATGATATTACAATGTGGTGACGTCAGTTCCGGTTATGTAAATCACGATAATACAATTTTTTCTTACCAACTTAATTTAAAACCACCCTTTCTTTTTTAATACAAAAATTGATTTAAAAATGCATAAATCATATGTTTCAATTAAATTTTGAAATTTGTGTTTTAAATTTCATTATAATTATTTGGTGGAATGTAAGATTGGGTTTATGAGAAGAAATGAAAAATGAGTTGGAGAAAATCTTGTGTCAAGGTGAGGAGGTTCATTTTCCATATTTTCTCGTGGGATTACGAGCGAGAAAATCTCCGAGAGTATACGATTTCAATCCAGGCGGGCGAGCAACTTTGGTTAAAAATCAAGGCGTTCAATCAAGGGGCTGTTCAGTATTCCGGTGAGCGAACGCGACGTTGTAAATAAAGATATGGCCGCGGCGAAAGAATTTGCCCTCGAGCTTTTGCGCAGAAACTCCTTCTTCGCCGAACGCCTTTTTACTAGGATTTTCCCGACGGAAAAACCTCATTTTGATATGTGTAAGTTTTTTTTTTAATCCCCATTGCACTTTATCCCAAAATAATAAAAAAAATACAATATAAAATCGAGATCAACTAAAATAACTTATTTAGTATTCAAGTTTTAACTTTTCCGGTGTTATTTTTTATGTGTTTACGTGCTTACTTAATTATAATAATAATAATTCTAATATTACAGTTTTTCCCTAAAAAAGTTAACATTTATTATTAATCATTAATAATTACAGATTTTTCATACAATGATGTGTTTCCTTTTACTTTTTAAAATCACAGACAAAAAATAACACACTTTTCACCTTTTTCTTATTATAAATCTTCGTTGAGAAAGTTTTTTTTCTTACGTCCAGCTTATATGACCAGTAGCGAACGACTGAAGCCTTAATTGATGTTGATGGTGAGCGTCAGAATCGGAATAATGTAAAGACATCGAAGAGGAACTTGGCTCTTCATAAATCTGTTGTCTTTCTCGCGTAATCGTAGATTCAGCATGCTCTTTAGCGTCGTGAACAATGACCGGATGTTGTGCGCTTCCGGTCGCATTTTGACACTATGTAACCATCGGTCTTAATTCGGTGTGTTGAGTTTCTTTGTGTCTTCGAAGATCAACTTTTCGTTGGAAAGCTCGTCCACATAAATCGCAAGCGAATGGTTTAAACCCGGTATGTTTTCTTGAGTGGGTTATTAAATTTGATGATTGACTGAAAGCTTTTCCACATACTGTACATTTATGTGGCTTTTCACCTATAACAAAAAAAAATTAATTATAATAATTTATTAATAATATTTGTTATTTAAATTCTATGACGATGAAATAAGGGTACCGATTTGAAATTTATAAGGAAGAGTTTATTGCAGGTCGTAATCAGAAAATCTGTAAGAAACGAATAGCGAGGGGGTAGTTTATTTCGGGACGAGATGCTGTGCTTAATTTGTGCTCTATCTCTTTCCCTCGCAGATAGAGCTTTTCGGTATGGAGCTTTCGCGTGGTGTAACGTTTTTTATCTTTGTCTGAAACGCGCAGCTGTTCCTATAGCAACGTAAGGTGCGGGCGGAGCTAGAATACCTCTGACTGAACGAATCACAGTTTGCCTCAAACTGATAGCAATCGATAACACTTTGCCCCGTTACTACTACTACCACCTCCACCGCCGCCGCCACCGAACCGTGAAAAGGTTTAGGATGCTGAAAACTGAAATACGTGATGTGTATTCCCATATAGAAAGATTTTTTTATTGATCATTTTTCAAAAAGATCAAAAAAAAATTTGAATCGATTAAAGATTAAAAATTGCTAGGTTCAAAAATTGATGTGTGTTGGGTTAATATATATTAATATAATTAATCTATTTAGTAAGTATATATATTATATATATAAGTATATTTATACATACAGGGTGCCCATTATGTATGGAATATAGTATATATCTTTGTAGGTATCAACTTTATAGAAAAACATTTTATACAAAACTTGTTTAATATTTTATTTGCCATAATAAGACTGCAGTCAATTGTTTTTAATTCAGAAAACAAATGAGTAAAGAATAATACTTAATTTTTTTTAAATAGCAATGTATTCTTTCTTTAGGCTCATTTGATAGAGATTATTTTTCTCTTTACGATGGCGTAAAATTTTTGTATCCTTACATCAGAAAATTTTTGAGAAAAATGGAAAAATTGTTTATTAATAAAAATTAATCAATAACATTAATCTAGATATCCGAGATCGTCAAGTACCTCGAATTATTACTGTAAATTAAATTTACATACAAAATAAAACAAATAAACGAAAAATTAGTGTACATCTCCAATAATTCGAGATACTTCGAGGTACTTGACGATCTCGGATATCTAGATTAATGTTATTAGTTAAATTTTCTTAATAAACAATTATTACATTTTTTTCAAAAATTTTCTGATATAAGGGTACTAAAATTTTACGTCATCGTAAAGAGAAAAAAAATCTCTATCAAATGAGCCTAACGAAAGGGTACATTGCCATTTAAAAAACTTCAAGTGTTATTCGTTGCTCATTTGTTTTCTGAAATAAAAACAATTGAATGCTGTCTTATTATGGCAAATAAAATATTAAACAAGTTTTGTATAAAATGTTTTTTTATAAAGTTGATACCTACCAAGATATATACTATATTCCATACATAATGGGCACCCTGTATATAAAAATATATATTTATATCTACAAAAGTTGTTTGACTCACCACTTTGGAACACCTGTATATTTTATCATATAATGAATAGCATTAACTCACAGCATTCAGTTTTTAAGATACTCAATTGTTTTTCCAAAATGTGTCCATTGCAGCATCTTTTTAAAAACGATGTAAAAACGACATTTTTTCCAATTTTGTCTTGAAACTGTGTCAGATAATAGTCAAAGCCAGTAGGTACAGCGTGTTCATAAAGCTTAGTTACTTTTGATCAAATGGCTTTTTCGTAAGTTTTTTTAAATGGAACATCTTGTATATTGTGAGCTGGATAAATTGGCCATCAAGTTACCTTTAATTAATGATAAGTATGTCATATACTTAACTTTAATAGATTTCCTGATATTTAGAATTTAAAGAATAATGTGTAATAAAATATGCGTTATTGTACTTAATATTATATTCTGTCTATGTTTATCAGTTTTTTTTTGTTTATTATTTGATTAATATTTTATAATGTAAAATAATTTTGCTGCCATATACCAAATTTTAATGCGACTTGGTACTTTACGAGATTTTAAAAAGATGTAAGTAATAAAATATGCAATTGTTCTGCCATATAATTTACAACTTTAGAGAAAATAAGAGGCACATGTTAAGAGATATCTCAAGATCTTTTATATAGCGCATTAATGAAGAAGAGAAAATGGGCGGCATTTTGAACAACTTCTAAATATTAATTAAATTAATAACTACTTGTTGAGCAACGTTTAGTAATTGTTTATACAGTGTGTCCCCGGATAGGTGAAACGACTCTTATAAAATGTAAATTTTTTTCGATATTAATTGTCATCTTTTGGGGTTCCGCCCTGCTTAGTTAAAGACTAATTTTAAACATATTTTCAAGTTTTAAAAGTTTAAGTGAGTGTTGACACTGAAGCGAATACTTCTTGTGTGTCAGGTAAAGTACCTTTTCTGTATACAGTATGGTAAAATGTTACTAAGAAATTTTATTCAGAATAAAAAGTTATGGCCATATGCAAATTTTCGGAATCATCGGCCTACTTTATAAGATTAGATGCTTTATTAAGATTTTTTGTTTTGAGAATCAGATTGTTTGGGAGAAATAAACAAACCGTTCTTAAAATGTTTACAAAAAATTAATTGTGTGTTCGCTCACAAAAGAAAACAGTTAATCATAATTAACAGTTAATCAGTTTCATCATAATTTTTCTTTAGAGTGAATACTTCCTGCGGTAAGAAATCTTTTGATTAAACGCCAACAAGTACTTCTTTTAATTCCAGTATTTGAAAATTTTCCACTAAATAAAGCAATAGCCATATTTATCAGTTTTTCCCCGGTTTCATAACATTGAATCACGTAAACTTTTTCCTCTAATGTTAACATTGTATTTAAAAAACACTTTAAGTTTACTAATTTACAGTTTGGCAGATTAACATTGACAGGAAAGCAATTTTGTTTTTCCATGGCAGTCTTTGTTAGAAATAAAATTGTTTGAAATGGATTTTTATCAAAGTAGGCCGATCATTCTGAAAATTTGCATATGGCCATAGTTTTTCATTCTGAACAAAACTTCTTAGTAAAAAAAGTTTTTCTTTCACTGTCAAGGCACACTTGTTTTTTTAAAATTGAAAATATGTTCAAAATTAGTCTTTCATCAAGCAGGGCTAAACCCCAAAAAATTACAATTAATATCGAAAAAAATTTACCTTTTATAAGAGTCGTTTCACCTATCCGGGGACACACTGTAGTTTGTTGCTGCATTTCCTTGAAATAATTTAGTAATTAAAAAAGGGATATATTGTTCTGTCATTTAATTGCATTTTTTGTATTTTTATCACGTTCTGAAAAGTTTTTTTAATTGTATTTTAATATAATATTACTGATTTAGAAATGATAGACAAACAGAAAAAAAGTGACAAAAAAAGGACAGAATATATTACATTCTGTCACTTTTTTAAGTACAATAACGACATCTTATTACACATTTTTCTTTAAATTCTAAATATCAGGAAAACTTTTAAAGTTAGATATATGACATACCTATCATTAATTAAAGGAAACTTGATGAGCAATTCAAGTAGCACACAATATACAGGGTGTTCCATTTAAAAAACTTAAGAAAAAGCCGTTTGAAAAACATCAAAAGTAGCTAAGCTTTATAAACACCCTGTATGGTGTATCTAATATCTTTCAATATGTTAGTGTAAAACTAGAACTAACACTAGACCTAGAACTAAAAAGTTTTGGGTTTAGCCGTGCGTCTTAAGACGCTGTTGTTATGCAGCGTCTTAAGACGCAAGAAGACCAAGAAATAGAATCATTCGGATTTAGCAGTCTTAAGAGGAGTGCGGCTAAACCCGAATGCTTCTAGTTCTAGGTCTAGTGTTAGTTTTAGTTCAATAAAAATATGCAACATAGTGATATTTTATACTAACTAGCACTATCTAGCATCTACCAGCCGTCTTAAGAGAGGTACGGCAAACGGAATGTTACTAGTTCTATAGTTCGTTTTTTTTCTATAATACTTGTCAATGTCAATTATTTAGGGTTTTTGTTGGTATTATCTAGGACGCTTATAAAATTTATGTTGTTTTCATGATTTTTAGTAACATTTTCAGTAACTAATTAGTTGAGGTTAAAGTACTAATAAATTTTTAGATAAATACGATTTTAACGAAGTACATATTTGTTGTAAAAACGTGCTACAAAGTAATTAATAGAATAAAATACCTTTTCTAGGTAAATAAATGGCAAATAAACACCCCACAACACTTTTACTGCACCTTTTCTTTTTGAATAACGAAAGCTCAAACCATGGTGTGCAATCTTACTACTATAAAAATGTAGACCCAGGTTTTAGTACCCTCACAATCCACTGGATGACGTTGTAGACTGAATTTGTAGCAATCTGCATTATCTACACCAACAAAGCGCTTGTAGCCATAGAAAAATTTATATGTAACGTCAAACTCAAAGGTGAAAGCAAACGTCACATTTTTGTTTTGTCGTTTGGTGTGATAACTGGTGATAACCCCGTTGTATAAGTAAATATTCTTCTTTACTTTCCTTTGGCTAAGTGTTTTATATCCTTTAGTTAACTGTTAAATAAACTAGGGCCACTTTTATCACCTCTTCATAACTTTATCCGATAGATAAATTGGCGCTCATAGCCAATGAGAGCAATATATTTATATTATATTTAAAATTATGAATTTTGTCTTGGAAAAACCTTAAATTCATATTTTTTTGCATTTATTTGTAAAATGTACTTAACCTCTTCAACATAAATTATTGGTATAAACCGGTATAGAAATACCTATATTTAAATTTCGCGCTTTAACCTAATTATTTCCCTCACAATCCCTTTGGGAGCGCTGAATGTACCAAAAAATAGTGGGGAGATGACCTTCTATATACATAATATATATAAATTTTTCTATGGCTCAAACGTCAATGTGACATATTTACTTCAAAACATGATAAAACAAAACTCCCTGTTAATTTTGCCAACTTTACAACAAATTGATAGGTATTATAGTAAAAAAATGAACTATA